CTGTGCACAATTGGAGTGGGAGCGCTTTTAGCGGTATTTCGCCACACTTGTTCACATCAGGCTGATAAGTTTAAGTAATTTGGACGTCAATTGACAGGCTGAAGTGGGGCCAGTTGAAATGCTGAAGTGTCGCAACTTAAAGCTAAAACCTTCGATACTCTATGTGCTATATGAGAGTGAATAGCAGCTCAGCATAAATATGTTGATATGAATTTCCTTTATTTAGATTAAACTGTTATTGCGGTTTTCTTTGTGGCTTCTGCCGCGAATCGCTTCGTGTTTGACATGCAAATGAAGTGTCTGTCAGACCTAATAAGATTTCATTGATTTCATTCGATTTCTTGTTTTCTTTTTCGTTTTCTGCTATTTCGGTGATTTTTTTCGTGTCAAAGATATGCACGACGGCGCTATTGTTAAGGCTCGATCGTTTCGCTCGATTTCCTAGGCATATCAATTGGCAACATGCGACTTCTAATTAGGTGATAACATGCCAGCGGCTCAAAAGATACACAAGAACTCCGCTTGGCTGTTGTTGTTGTTGTTGTTGCTTGATTGATTGACTGAGTGACTGCCTGACTGCCTGACTGCTTGACTGAGTGACTGTCTGCAAGAGCGCATAAATTATTTGCAAATTTTATTATCGGGCATGTCCAAATATTTGTACGCTTGTTTGGCACCTGCCGTACCAACGCCGGCGCTGCTGATGCTGTTGTTGGCGCTGGCGCAGGCGCACACGGCGTATGAGTAATAAAGTCAATCTGCCAACCGCTGCTCGTCAGCATTGTGCAAACGATCGCTGCGATAACAAGCCCAACAAAATATCATTATCATCACCAGCAGCAGCAAAAACAACAACAACAACAACAACAAAAGCAACAACAACACGTCATCAGCAACAAACAGTGCAAAGGAGTCGCGTTGTCAAGAAATTGCGCAAAATGTGCACAGCAAATTAATAACAACAAAAGCCAAAAGCCAAAAGGCAAAAGGCAAACAACAATTACAACAACAACAACAACAACAACAACAAAGGGCGAAAGTTATTTTTGTGTGCATTAAGCAGCAATATAAAAAAAGAAATAAGTGCACCAAAAGGAATTTCAATTATATGCATTTATTTATAACAGCTAAAATATACATATATCTGTTTATATATACATACAAAACATATATTGTACATTAAGCTGATTTAGTTATATGTGCTTTAATTAAAACACGAAAACAAAAACGGGGAAAAATTTAATTGAAAAATTTGAAATGTTTGCAAATTTGTCAAGAGTGCCAAACGGTAGCTGAACCTTAGTGCCCAACTAGAAGATACCCTGGATTGGCATATTCGGGCTTCGTTAAGATAGGTTACGGATTACGTTATACTGTTATACAGTAGTGATTATACAATTGACATTTTTGCCCTTATCCAAATATTATCAGAGATTTAACCTTAATTAATCGAACTGTTATACAATACAATTACCGTATCACACTTGAAAACGAAAGGTTAACCTAATGTTCCTTTAGTTTCATATATGCGAGAGTTTTACTTTAGCAGTGCTCAAAATTGTGCACAACTATTTAACTGTTATACAACATTGCTACTGCGTACCAGTGTTATATATGCTGCGTGGTTTGTCTCTAATCTAACATTTCCTTTGACGAGTTTCAAATTATTTCCCTTAGTGTTTTATATCAACAACAGTAAAAGTACCATTTGAACTGTTATACAACACTAATACTATGTACCACTGTAATATTAACTGCGCGCTTTGCCTCTAAGCTATATAGACTTCTTTTTTCTTTGACGAGACGTAAGCAACGGTACTTTTTGAACTGTTATACAACACTGTGAAATGAAAATGGAACTCAATAGACTAATTTCCTTTAGTAACGGATTAATAGTGCTTTATATCAACAGCACTAAAATTTATTAGCACCATTTGAACTGTTATACAACACTGCTATTAAATTCAAATTAAGTATTTACGGAGCTAGTCAGAGCTAGTCAATGGGCAAATCATGAAGATTAACTTTGTTTTTACAGCTGGTATACAACACTGTCAGCTTTTAGTGATTTATCCCTTATTTGCCTGACATTTGAATGAAATAAAAAATAAATGGCTAAATAAGAAAGATTTGATTTATTTACAATTGTAAAATAACTAAAATTATTTATTTTTTAAATTTTCGTTGTCAGCTGAAAATTAATTTTAGAATTTGGAAAAATCGAAGCTGTTTAGGCAATCGATTCGCTAGATTGAAATATCTGTGAGCGATATTTCTAATTAGCTTGTAAAGTAATATATATAAAGTAATATAATATATATTATATATATATTTATTTTTTTTTTTTATGTAGGATATATAGATCTATATGTTTCCCTATCTATCGTTGCATAACTGTTTACAGTTGGCAAATTATTAACTTATTTAATGCAGTGCGCAGTGCGAATGTTATACTCGACGCGTTGCGTCGCATCGCTGCCAGCGTCGCCGTTCGCGTCGCAGCTGCTATAAATAATTAAAAAGTTTGCGCGCTCGTCAAATAGTTTTGTTTGCCCCGCCGCTGTTTGTATCTTCGTGTGAGTATCTCAAACTGTCAGCAAGTATCTGCGTATGTGTATCTCTGTGTGTGCGTGTGTGTTTGACCATTTTGCGGAAGTGCATTGATTTTCCACTCAAGTAGGCACTTGACTCGAACAGTCGGCATTTGCAATCGCAATCGACGTAGCAATAATTTTCTCACCTTTTAGACGCTCTCCAAAAAATGCAAATTAGTTTTTTTCCCTCCACTGCTGTTGTTGTTGCTGCAGTTGTAACTAACATTTAATTAGAACTTTGTACTTTTTTTTTTTTTTTTTTTGCTTTGCTTTTGCTTTTTGTTTAGGTGATTTGTTATCGTCAGAGTATTTATGTAAATTGTCTTGGAAGTGAACAATTTACATCGGCGGAAATCCGCTCGAAACTTCACAAACTTAAAACGCACAAAAGATTAAATGTTTAGTCGAAGCTTAAGGGGGCTTAGATGGCACTTGGCGAGATGATTGAGTGCAGCAGGATATGCATTCAATATCAATCATATTGTTGGAAAGTTCTAGTGTCGGGTATGCTTAACTCGAAGATATCTCGACCGAAAATGAAAAATTGCAGAAAATCTATATGAAATATGAGAAATATTTAATAATCTAGCCAGAAATTTCTAAGAAATTTAATCAAATAACTCTAGTTCGGTAACTTTCCAAGTCAATTTCGATTAAGAAGTGAAAAAATCGATTATGTGAAAGCCATTTTAGAAGATTCCACATGAAGTATAGATCTTAAGTTTTTACAAGTTATACAGGTTCTATAGAGGGATGGAAAGATGGGACAGAGCAAGTTTGTCTGTTGATCTATATGTATACTTAGTGAAGTCTCTGTAGTCTTAACTAATTTAACTAATTCTTAATTTCAAAGAGTTCAGGATATACAAATAAGTGTTTTGGATATGAGATTTGGTTAAATGGTTCTTCTTAAATGATCAAATAGAGCCTATATCAAATATGTTATATCTATAGATCTCTTCTAACTCAATATGTAACTCTTGTATTTATTTCCTACTGTATAGGGTATATCAATGCCCATTTGACTCTTGAGTTTTGGGTAGCATGAAGCGCATTTTTAGACTAATCGAAAACTGAAACTCAAATTCAAGCGGAAACTGAAAAAAACTAAAACTGAAACTGAAATTAAAACTGGAACGTCGTAAGCAGTGAAAGTTTTCTATGCTGATTTTTTGTGTGTTTTTTTGTATATTTGTATGATTTTTTGTTTTTGATTTTGTCTTGGAGTTGGGCTCTGTTTTTTTTTTTTTTTTTTTTGTGTGTGGCTACATCTGGCCTAAGCTCGGGCATTGATAAACTGCGCATGTGCGTCGAGCGCTTAAATAACCAAGCGACAGCTCATGCGGTCGCGCATGCCAACGATCATCAGGCAGCGGACATATCCATAAGATACTCCGCCCGCTCGCATTGGGATTCAGATTCGCATTCGCATTCGCATTCGCATTCGCATTCGTATTCGAATTCGCATTCGAATTCGCAGCTCCATTCGCGCGTCACTTGGCCGCATTTGGGCAATGGGCTATAGATTCGTGAATGGCAAACAGCGAATCGCTATTATTATTACTATTAGGATGGCTATTATTATTATAATGAATATTCTTCTTAATATTACTATTATTAATATTAGCATTGTTAAGCTGGGCGCTTGACTTAACGATTGCCAAATGCGGCGTCTTTGTGTCTAGGCCCAGCTGTCAATTAAACGCTTCTCGCTTGATTGACAGCCTGCCCTACATATATACATATACATATATATATATATACATATCTATATGTATATATATTTACCCTTTTTATACACTCTTTAGTTTTGGGCATTTAAATTTGCATGCGCTTAGGCAATGTATTTATTTACAACTTTATATTTTATATATATGTATATGTATACATATATACAGAGACATACACGAACATATATCTGTATTATTTTTTTCGTACTTTTATTGTTTTGTTTACGACTTGCACTGCACTCACACACACACACACACATGCACGCACGCCAGGGCCCGCCCTTCCCCGCCGGCCCTTGGCCTTGCGGGCGGGGTGGTTGGCTTTCATTAGAACTGTTTGATCATATACTTCGTCTTCCACTTCCACTTCCACCTCCACCCACAGTTCGATTTCGACGCGTTATTTATGGTTTCTGTTGCTGAAACACACTATGCAATAGTTGTTTGTTTTTGTTTATTTGTGCTCTGCGACCGACTGTCCCCCTTTCGCCTTGCCCAGCGGCTCTTATACCGCCAATAGTTTTGCACTAGAATTTGAGCCATGTTATGGCCAGTCGCAACAGAGCACGCTCTTATACTCTTATACCACTGTTAGTATGCTGCTTAGTTCTGTCTGCTATTTATGCTAAGGCTGAAATCCAATGTAAAATTACATTTACAGTATTTAACAACTTACCGTTTGCACAGCTCTTATACGTATGCGAGAGCGCCAGCCAGTGTCTCCTCTGACTCTGTGTGTGTGTGTGTGTAAGTGCGCGATAAGCTCAAACAGGATGCGCCGCTGTGCGCAGAAAAAAAAAACAGTTACACTTCCGTCTCGAATTTGTTTTTGGAATATTTATGGTGTTTTTTTGTTTAGTGGATCGTTTTGCCTTTTTATAAGAGTTATTTATGGTACTTGCAGCCAAAGTGTTACGTAATCTTTGCTGCTCTTCGATTTGAATTTATTTTATTTTGCGGCGTGCGAAACGGAGAAAATTGTTCTTAATTTATAGGAAGCGCTGCTCGGTTGGCGGGGGCGAATAGTTTACATCTCCGTTAAATTTTTACAAAAAAATAAAACCGAAAATATTTTTTGTGCCAATCGCACGCAGGACGTGCGAAAAGTTTTTTTTTTTTAGTTGTTTTCAAATTGTTCAAAAGTTTTTGTGTAAAAACTGAGGAAAACCGAACAAAAAAAAAATTTGGTTTTGCGTGATAATCTAGTTGAAATTATTTTGTATTTAAATTTTTTTGGATATATCACAGACACAGATTTAAGCCTTTAAATTATGTTTCTAGTTATTTGTTGATTACGATTTTTGTAAATTTGTATTTTATTTTGTATTTGGTTTTTTGGTAACAAAAAACACGACCAACTCGAAAACGCACTAAAACGGTATTAAAAGCCGAGACTAAATTTTACTTTGCAAGTAATTTACAATGGGACTTGAAGCGGTGCGCAAGCCGAGCGTCGGGCGCAGAGCGACACGATGGCGAGCCGAGCGCGACACGAGCGAGACACGAGAGAGTGAAGCCGACGAAGCGATGCTTATCGGTATGGTGGAGTTCACTTCACTTTTGCACTTGTCGCTGCCCTGCGAGGGTGTTGGGGCTGAGGAGAGCCGTTGCTGCTGCTGTTGCTGCTGCTGCTGCCGCTGCCGCTGCTGCTTTGGAAATTTGCGTTTTGGCAGAGATGCGGCCAGATAACTGACACTGACAACGGGCCCGAAAAAAAAATATATAACAGCTGCTCGTTATCGCAGATCGTCGTGCACTATTCGTGTGTGGAGCTTGTTGTGTTTGAAGCGTGGAGCGTGGAGCGTGTGTTGTGGAGCTGCGGCAGCTGTTGCTGGCGTTCGGCTTGGGAATGATGTTGGCTTAAAGCCAGTCGCTACGTAATATACGCTCAGATCCTGTTTACACGCCGTCAACGTCGACGTCGACGTTGCTGACGACGGCATCAGCAGCTGTTTGAGAGAGCGAGAGAGAGGGAGCGCGCCATGAGTGGAAGAGCGCAAATAAAGCGAAGCTGCAGCTTCATAGCAATCGCAAGCTTTTTATTTCGGCTCTATTCGTGCGTCGCGTCGTCTGTGCGCGGGTGAGCACGCTGCGTCGCTGCTGCCGCTGGCGCTGACTGCGCAGCATCGTTGCCTGCGGCTTCGAACTCGCTTCAAACTTGCTCGATGCTGTTGGCTGCTGGCTGCTGGCGCTTCGTGCCTGTCTTTACTGTGGCTCCCTTGGCGCTCGCCGCTGCGGATTGCGAGTTGCGAGTGGACGGACTAACGGACAGACAGCGGGGCTGCTACAACCATTCAGCCAATCGCACAAGCGGCGCTTTTCAACTTTCATTAGAAATTGATACTGCGCGCCGCTCAGCCACGCCTACTTCGGTAACAATGTGCGTGAGAGTGTGCTCCTTGTTCGATGCTCTCGATCTTCGTCTAGGTCTGGGTCGCGGTCGCGGTTGCGGTCGCGGTCGCAGCATCGCTGCGTCTCGGCTGTCCATTAGCATCTCTTATAATGCAATAATTGCTAATAATTGCCGTTAATGAAAAACGATTTGCATGCTGTGATTGATAAATCGCTCCTCCCTCTCTTTCATGCTTCCACTGACGCACACATACACTCACACTCGCATTCGCATTCTGTTTCTCTCTCTCTCTGTCCCCCTCGCGCTCTCATTTTTGCTACTGTTTAATGCGCTGGCATCCCGTTTTGTGTGTCACTGTCAGAGCCTGCGTCAATTGTTGAATGCTTTCCGAAAGGCAAACGAAACGAGAAAACAAAAGCGGCAGCTGCGCAGTGGCCGCGCAGTAGCTGCGCAGTAGCAGTCGCCAAACAAGCCGCAGCATACGTATACCCAGGCAATGACAACAACAGCAGCAGCAACAAAGACAACACCAACAACAACAACAACAATTGTAGCGAGACAAAAAAATGGCCATTATATCGTATCAGTCTGAAATTTATTAATTATTTATTTATTTGTTTGCCCAAATGAAACGACGTCGCCGCCGAAAGTCGCCTCGATTTTCGTCATCTTTTGCCATCGCCGTCGTCATCGACAAACGTCACGAGATTATACAAATGTTAACAGACATATGTATGTACATACACACATACCTACAAACATACTTATGTATGTATGTGAGCAGATATCTATTCCCGTTTATCTATATCTCATCTATGAATCTGCTTCGAATTGTCTTTTTGCCGTTTGGCAACTTATTTGGGTTCCGTTAATTGCCTCTGAAATGTCACTCTTATATTCGTTAAAAGTACGAGCGCACAGACTGGCTGCTATTTACCTACATGCACGCACGCACACATGTGTGTCTGTGTATATACCTATTGTTTATTATTTCTATTTCCCTTTTCTTTTACCTATGCTTTTTGTGCATGCGCCGAATTTGCATAGCAGCTCTTATACTGTAAGTATATGTTATACTAATCGCACTCATTTGCTCTCAGCTCTTTCGATTTCGTCTTATACAAATGGCTGCTACGCATTCGTCTCATTTCGTGTCCTTTAAAATTAATTTTAGCCACAAAAACACTTTTCATTTTAATAATTTGCTTTCGTTTACGTGACACTGGGCACATTTCCATACGTCTTCTACAAATTATAAATATGCTAGGCAGAATATTATATATAGTATTACAGAATTTTCTAGAGATATGCTATTATTATTTATCCTATTTTGTTTTCGCGTTACTTTTGCATTTTCTGCTCAAAACTGTTGTAATTTATAGCTTTTTATACAATTTAGTAAGTATTATCTATATGATCGATTTTTCTAGAAATATGACAGTATTATTGATCCTATTTTCTTTTTATTTCTTTTGTAATTTTCTAGTAATGAAACCCAGATTGTTATAGTTTATGTGTATAACAGTTATTTACAGCCTATTATAGGGACTTGCTACGTATACGAAGATTAAACGTATGATAATTAGTGCTTGTCTTATACAAATTTATTTTGGCTTGTAAAGTCGATCAAATAAATCTCACTTAAATCATATCTATCTGCATAATAACCTCACTAGTTTCTTATCAGATAGTGCTTCTGTGAGCAACAGCTAACATAGTCATGCCGAATATCCGTGTTGTTCCTATTGGATTAAGCGTAGTTCTGAAAATAACTTGTAACAGTCTCATAAAGATAACATATACACCTATGTAATACAATAACAGTTTTATGGTAAATCAACTTATACAAACAGTTGAAAACGCACTTTATTCTTATACGATTCGGATTACATAGTTAATTATGCCATAATTTTAGTCTTATACTAAGCTGCAGCGCTCCATACCCCTGGAATATATTTCGACTCTTATAAAGACGTATGACTCAGTCTGTTGTGCACTTCGTTCTTATTTGATTCTGACCAAGACTTGTATATTTTAATGGTCTTACAGCTCGCACACTCATATACTGCTGTTATACTCCTCTAAGAAGATAATCTTGTGCAGCTTTCCAATAGTCATTTTATTGTTTTCTGCTGACGTCTTTTGAGGTCTGCTAATAGTCGCTTATAAAGAGCGACAACTTACATATCTATGTAATGTAAAGCACAGTCACCATCCAAGCAGAATCTTCTGCAGTTCCATGGGCGTCTTATACTGTCGTCAAATTAGTTAGCTATAAATTTTCCATGTATTGAGGCCGCAACATTTCTTTCTCTATATAAATATATTAATATAGATACATATATACATACATATGTGCACATACTTTTCCACTATAAGTAGCGCTTGGTGTTGGCGCGGCGCGAACGAGTCTATTAATTGTTAATTTATTTATAAGACAGTTGGCGGGATTCAATTTGCGAACGTTCTCTGCCAATTAGAGTGCACAGAATCTGCACAAATCTGCCAAAAGCCGCCCCGGGGTCCAGTGCACGCCGGAGTGAACACGGTTCAAGCAGCACGTGACGTAGTTGCAAGTGCTGCCGACTCACCCGAGCTGAAGGCAGGGGAGGACGGGGAGCGGGGAGCGGGGAGCAGATAGCGGGGAGTGAAAGGGAGTAACAACAGTTAAGTAATGCTCACTGCAATTATCGTGCAAGCTATATCAAATGGCTATATGCATATAGATCGACTGTGTCGACCTCTGCGTCGGCGTCGGCGTCGGCGTCGACGTCACTTGTTGGACACGTGTGACACGTGTCCAATCCGCTGTATTGCATAACGATCCCAATAGACAAACACATACATATATGCATATAGTGTGTATAAGAGTGAGAGATATTCACAATAGATTAGAATTTAAATATAATTATGATGATATGCGCTGAGCTGAATGCCATATTCGAGCTGACTAAGAACGACTTGTACGGCTCGCTATTTATCTATATATCGGGTATATATCTAGCTGATATAAAAGTACACACACACTCGCACACACACATTCGTATCTGCGGCCCAGAGAAAAATGCAAATAATTTTTACGAGTACCGCAAATGCTCGTAAATTTTTGCTTCTTAGAAATGTGAAGGCAACCGAATTGCGCCCAACTGAACGCACTGTGGATACCCTAAAAATTCACAAAAATACACAGCGATTCACAATGGATAGTTTTTCTCTTTTATTTCGATTATTCTTAGAAATGAAAGAAGAAGTTTGTATTATGTACCCATCTATTACAATAGTTCTATAGTTTAAATGAGCTAATCAAATTTATTTTAAATATCAACAGAGTTTTATTCTATATTTCCTATCTGCAAGCAAGATCTAGCAGAGTTCAGTTCTATTTTACATTGCATACATTTATGCGAACTTCAACTCAGACGCCTGTCGGTGAGTGTGTGTGTATAAGTTGTGTATAAGTTGGAGTAGAATAAGTGGAATATGGATTACCAAGCCTGCAGCTGTATCTCTCTGAGCTGAGCTTCGTTTGCATTAACTATCATTAACTATCATAATGATTATGATACTGATCATGGTAATAGCTATAGTAATGATAATGATTCTTTATTAGGGCTCAATTCTTTGGCTTGGGCTGCCTCCCAGTTTGGATCTGGGCGTTATCCAGCAACAACTTCATAGTGGAGCTTTCTATGTAGAGAGAGTAAAGATCTACTCTGTCCTTTTCGCACACTCTTTTCCAACACCTTTCCTGTGGCTCATTTGCTCTATTAAGGCCTCTACTTGAACTTTATCGACTGTTTCTGCTAGGTCGGCTCTCTCTTCAGTCCATCAAGTATGCTCTATGTCTTCTGATGCATTTTTGCAGTAAATGAGAAAAAAGTTTATAGATTTGATTTCATTTACTGCGAATTTATAGATGTCGGTAGTTTTTTTTTTTTTTTTTTTATCAGAGAGCAGAGAGTCAGAGAGAGAGAGAGAGAGAGAGAGAGAGAGGTTCGCTGCAGGTGCGCTTTCAACTGCACTGACAATTTGACAATTTTTTAATCAAGCCGGAGATCTCAGAAGTTCCAGTACACGCAGCTCGACTATATGTCTCTATCAGCTATTATAAACATGCCAGCTCGCTGAAATTGTTCCCAAGGTTGCACGGACAGCATTAACTTGCGCCATACTTCTGCTTTTATATAGTAGGGACCCCATTTGTTGCTTTCATTAGAAATTTTTGTTTTCCGTCAGTCACCCACAGAACCTGTCTTCAAAGTCTGGGTTTACTCTCTAGTCAAATCTTGAACATTGTCCTTGAGTCTCTATCATATACCTAGGCTAACCCAAAAACAGAATTGACGATTTCTTTTTCATACCTATCAAGCTCTAATCATCGGGAACTTGGTATCATGACTAGGATAAGACTTCATAGAACTTCATTTCTTCATTTCTAGCATCGATGATTGCCCCGCTAACTATTTGGAAA